TGCTCATAAAATTTAACTAAGAGTTTATTACATGGTTTTGCTCAAAATAATGCACTAAGAACAAAAGAGGCGTTGTAATTGTGATAGTGATTTGGGGTACACGCTGTGTGACTGTACGTGACTTGCGCTTGACTTCGCATAGATGTGCACACCCTACCAAAACGTGGCAAGACGTCGGGTAGCATCGGGTAGCGTCGCATAGCGTTGCATCGGGTGTGTTCCCGGCTTGAGGCGCTGATCACTGTAAAGTAAAGAACCCGGGTTCGAATCCAGCGGCCCTTCATCACCTACAAATTGGCTTTTTGCCAAAAACACCGGCACCCCAAGGGCTCATATAACCGTTCTTGAAATACCCTCGTAAAAAATTCAATTTTTCACATTTTTTTGTTAACTTTTCAACATTTTACACGACTTCAAGATTTTAATCAGCCTTCAGGACAAGCTTAGGAAACTGAAGAATTAAATTATGTCACTACTGAAAAAGTAATTCAAATTCTAAGGTCAGGGAGAAAATTACCTGAGTACCACTTGAATAACCGTGCGCCCAAAGGTAAACTTCCGTATAAATTATTCCCAAACAAAAATTTAAAAATTCTTATTGATACGATAGATCAATAGATTCTTATTGATTGATAAAAATTCAAATTAAAGCCATTCAGGATTGAAAGGCTCACAGATCATCATTTGAAAAATAAACCACCGTTATATATTGTGCAGAATTATTTAACTTTGATAGACTCTTCGTAAAATTCAATGTCACTTTCATGACCATTTTGACATCACGATTGGTCTGGATAATTTACATTGGATTACCACATCAATTTCAGAACAGATACACTAAGCACCCCTCACCAGAAAATTGAAATTCCCTATCTCCAAACACCAAACTTGGACCAAGGCGTAAAAAGTGGAACCTCAGAAAAAAATCATAGAAATCTACATAAAAAATGTATAATTTGATGAATCAATAAGCTCGTGGCAGTGGGAGGGAGGCCGCAACCTTGACGCTCATCACTGTAAGATAAAGGTCTCAGGTTCGAATGCAGGAAATACTTACATACGGGCTTTTTTTTAAACAGCGGCATCCCAAGGGTTAATATAGCCCCGCTGTTGCAAACCCTCGTAAAATTTAAAAAAAAAATAATCCCATACCCATATGAAACCGTGATTGCTCGGTCAAGAGTGAAAATAAATGCCAACGTAACTTCTGACAATTTAAATGATAAAAGTTTATAAAAATTGTTACAGGACTTTTACGATTTATTTTCCGATTTGCGAGAAGAAAATCTATGCGAGTTCGAACTAACTGGACGCCTATTTGGAACAACCGATCGACGCAGCCGATAATGAATTCCCAATAGTCAACGTTGACCCAGACGAAGCAAACGATCGCGCTACTGTACATTCAAATATTGACGGCAATACTGTGATGACAGTGCCCGTAATAGATGAACCATTTAATAACAGTATTAATCAAATTATAATAGAAGAAGTAGAATTTCAACCGGCTAAACCCGAAATTATTAAATTATTCATGAATATAAAGACACGGATGCTAGTGCAGCTCTCGGGAAATCAATTTGTCCTAGACCTTAAACAATTGATAAAAAATTAAGTTATCCCAATGACAAAATTCCGGCTTTTATTTCGAAAAGGAAATTACAAAAAGATTGATTTCAAAATTCCTAAATGTAAATGTTGAGAACTAGATTTTTGTAGATACGGAGAAAAATTAATAGACATACCAACTGAGAAGGCATTAAAGAGATAATAGAAAACTACCATTTAGGAAAAGCAAATCACAGAGGTATAAATGAGCCACACGGTATAATTAAAACTCTCTCCTATTGGCCTTTTCGTATTGGAACACACCCGATGCAACGCCATGCGACACTACCGATGCTACCCGACGCAAACCCAAATTCCGTTTTTCCATAAGATTGTATTACCCCCTTCCACATCAGCCCGACGCTATGCTATGCTACCCTACTCTACGCTCTGCGATCCCCACTGTCCAGATTTTCGTCGGGTCGCATCGAGTACAGTCGAAGACAAAAGGACCGGAAACTCATATTTTTATTCAACCTACATGTATTACTACCTTTATATTAATTACAACATACTTATTTTAATATAAACCAAATTAACCGAGGTCAAAAATTCTTTAGTTTTCATTTTTTTTTAATTAATTTTAATGGTTTGGTAAAAAATAGATCGAAACATAGGAATACCATTTTTTGATATAATGAATTTAACTAACAATTTATTACACGGTTTTACTCATAAAATTAACTAACAATTTATTTCATGGTTTTGCTCATAAAATGACACCATTTTCGTCGAGTACCTTCAGAACAAGACACTCATATTTTTTGTAGTTTATTTCAACGTATAAATGATCTATTCATTCTGTAACAAAATTAAAACCTATTGAAATTCACCGCATTTAACAAAATGTATTTATACAATGCAAAAAAAAAAAAATATTTTTTTATATATTCAATCTCAACAAGAATGACACAATACGCAGAAAACAAACACATTGAGTGAGTACAAATATTTTGATTTAATATAAAAAAAATTTATTATTATTATTGCATTGTATAAATACATTTTGTTTCACATCGGACATGTATTTGTTAAATTTAAACAATGTTTGTAAATCCCGGGCTCTGAAGATGATCTCAATAAAGACCGAATCGTTGGCACGATAAATAAATGTTTTCGTTTTCTAAAACCTACGTCACACCAGACCTCATCAGACTAAGCATTGACTAACGGTCACTAAACACCGCACATTAATAATAATATGAATACTCATAAAGAAAAGGTAAAAACCATATACCAAATGATTAATGGAAACAATTTAACTAACAAAGAAAACGTTATCAGAAACAAAGATGCAACAAAGACGGAATCTCCAGAAATACCTGGTATCATTTATGTAAAACAGAAACAGAAGCAGAGTAAATTAAACCCCAGGGAAAGAATAAAATCGAAAAACCAATTTTAAAAAACTGCCATAATAAAAAATCCCACCATAATACGAGATCCAATATTCATTCATCATAGTCTAATATAAAACGTCCGAGGAAGTCTTCTTATCAATTTAACAATAAAAATGATGACGTTGAAGGCCCTCGCGGCGTTATAGAGATAAAGGGTGTAACGCGCAATAACGGAATTCTGCCGATCATCTTAGTAAAAACGACATTACAAACGACTTGAAGGATTTACTTTCAGAAATTGACATATTAAATAATCATTGTCATAAAATGGTAGAACAAATAAAATTTACCAAGAGTATTATAGAAGAGACATTATAATTCCGCAATATAATAAATTATTCTAAATCCCTTATTAAAGAACAAATTAACCACTTACTCATTCATAAATACTTCAGAAATAAACGAGGACATCTTACAGACTGAGTTCGATTATAAAATTTATACCTGGGAATTTAGACAATACAGTCAAACAAAAATTTGACAACGTTATCATGGTTATGAAGGCTAACCAAAACAACATTGAAAACAAATAAAATTAATTTATTCCTTAAATAATGAATTAGTAATTGCAATTAAACCAAATTTTTTGATCGAATAGCGAAGTACTTGAACATAAAATAACATTAATTGGAAGAACAATTAGAAATTAAGCGGAAATAAATAAATCAAAGGTGCATTTAATCAACTTCAAATCCTCTTTGAATTGGTCGTGAATACTCTTCAAGACTTTGATAATTCTATAAGATTTTGTAAGTTGAAAGTTATGCATCCAATCTTGATAAGCACTGATGAATTATTTTAATTTGCTATTAATTTAATGCTAGTTTGAGAAACAATGAGAGAATATATACGATAAATGCAATTAATATTTATTTCAGTGCAGAAGGAATTTATTGAATTAGCAACGAAACAAATGAAATTCGTTTTTTAAAACTTTTTGACATAAACTTTTCATTTTTTGGCCAACTTAAAATCCGATTGCACTGCTGTTTTCAGCGTAAAACGTCTTTAAAAATGATGTGTCAGGATGTATAGGGGTCACATTTGAAATTTTGATGTGGAACTGGGGTTGAGATACCCTGTATAATTTTTCTCCAAAAAAAAGGTAAAAAATTGGAACTAGACTAAATCATGTTAAACACTTATTTTTCGTTGTTTGACAGTGTCATTGGTTCATGAAAAAATGGCTAGGATTGAGTTATTTTAGATTAATAATAAGCAATGATTTGTCACTGTGGATCACGTCTCCTTTGTTGGTTTTGATTAGGAAACGCGATCCAGTGTTTTTGTACCTATGATTTATTATCTTGACAAATTTTGTTTTTGTCCCGTTATGAATACAGCCAGAAATTGACTGATTTCTGGTATAAGTATGACGTGATTATTCAATTTTTTTTATTACTGAGTTGTGTGTATTCGCATGTGGAAGTGTTTTCAGCTGTTCCTCTGTACATGAAACATGATGTGTTGATAACAAGAACTTTGGACAATGTCTATCTTGCGTTTTACTCAATCTACATTTAGGTTAGGATTGTACTGTTTATTATTTTAATACATAATTTGTTTCTGGGATTATGGTGACAAGTTTGTTGCCATATTGTTTGGAATGGTTAAAGATAAAATAATTCCATTTTTTCCCAGAAAATAAGAGTAGTTTAAGAGTCGTTGGTTCAAGAGGAATTCGGCCGGACCATCTAAAAAGGACACCCTGTATATATAGTGTTATATAATATGATCCTGCATATATTTTAACCAGCGTAAAAAAAATATCCATAAAAAATACATTTACAAAAATAGGCAGTAAACCTTTAAAAAATTTATTTCTTCGGCACCCGGGCCCAATTAGCCAAAATGGTATATTTTTTATCTAGTAACTACGGTTCCCTTTTGGCGGTAGTCTTAAAATAGCATTGATCACCTGTACAATTAAATTTTTGTTGAGTTGAAAATTTGTATGATTTAATTCTCACATTGAGGAGAAAATACAAACACTTTCGATTTTGCATTCATTTTATTTATGCTACTACAAGTTATATAATATTACAGTGGTGTTAGAATAAATAATCATATGAATTTCTAAATGAGTAATGAAATATTCTTCACCATTTCCCCGGAACGGTAACCATATCTTCTTCCCGAAAGGTATCAATTTCGAGATCTTTTTTAGGGTTTGGGAATTTTTCGCACAATACTTTATAGTACTCATCGGTGTTAGAACAGATATTATTCTTTAACTTTTGTTCTTTAGCTTTTATTATTTTTAATCTGTAGGCTCTAAAATTTTCGTACATTTTGGTAATAACCTGAAATCCGTTTTGTGATTTGTCCATCAAATTTTGTAAGGATTTCTCGACGACAAGAATATTCTGATTGGCCCATTGAATCTTTTTTTCACAGTATTTACACATTTTCAGTTGTAACTCAACCAGGGGTTGTAAGACAGCCATTTTGTTCTGAATCATATCTATTCCTGTGGAGATATCGGAGGCAAAATTTTCAACGACACTTGACATCATGCTGCGTACATCTTCCTCAGATTTTTCCCTAGGGGAATTGTAACCATGATGAAAAGGAACGTATGGGCCTTCAACTTTCTCCTGTTCAGTATATTGTAGATATTGACTAAAGTCGTTTATGATATCTCTTTTGGTCGTCTCTATTTTTATTACCACGCCATTCCAACCCAGCTTAAACGTGTTAACCGTTTCAATAATTTGATTCATTTTCAGTAGAATTGAGTATTCAGAAGAATTCCGCTGATCCAATTTTAACTCTTTATCGCTTTCAATCGGTGAACAGCTACAATGCTAAAAAAAATAAATAGTTAATTTTAAAATTTCATTTTTACCATATTTTCATAGCTAGATGTAGTTTCTATCTTAACAAAATGTATTGTTTTTTATTTTCTTTCATTCTGCAATTATTTAAAAATTCTCTTATTATACAATTGCTTCCATAATTTTTTTTCAATTAATTCTATTAATATAATTTTATTGACATTGTTGGACTATTCTTGTTGTTCCACGATTTTATAACCTATAAATATTACGCTAAAAATTCTCAATACCTGTAGAATTAGCGGAAGCAGCAGTAAGACAACCATCGCCATTGCCTTTTCTCGAAGGAATAAGCACTGCGCTGAAATACTTATGCTGTCGTAAATAATTTTTCTATCTTTATTGATAAGATTACCCTTGAGTCAACTCGATTAAAGTAACTAACGGAGTAATTTTATCAAATCGTTTCAACATATCGATATTTCGAAGGATAAATCCCGAGGGTTGTTCTGTAGATGCAAATTTTAAATTGAAGAGATGTCATATTGTAAAGTTTACTATCACGGAATGAATAAAGACACTTCAGAACAAAATGGCGAGACAATAGTCTCGAAGTAAAAGCGATAATAGTCTAATTTTTGTCAAAAACGATTTTATGCTGCCATCTCTTTGTCTATTGAACAATGGAATGAACAGCAAATAAAAAGAGAAAAACGTCTTAACTTATTCTTATGAGAAAGAACAATAATATTTATTTTTCATGTATGACACTGCAATACTAATGCAACTGTTTGGCCAACAAAAATATGAGTTTCATAAACGAATAATTATTTATTGAACTGCTGGAGAAATGGAGGCAGGTATTGATTGCAATCAGATGATTCAAGTGCTGGACCTAATTTATAATTTTTTTTTCATATTAAGGCTGATTAATGTAGAGATTTCCAGCAAGATGAAGATAAATTCAATACCGCAACACAATTTTTTGAAGATCTGAAGTTCAATGATGTGAATAATCAATAAGATGTCAGCTTACCAACTTTTTCCAAATCAACAAATTGGCCTCCACTTCTCAGTCGGATCCAGGTTGTACCGCTGAATCTTAAATCATTCCTTTTTATTGCTACCTATCTCATCCTAAATACCTATCTATCTGATTGTTTCCTTCGTGTAACTTACATGCTTTAACCTTACAGACCTCTCTTGCGTTTATCACTGGAGCATCCTAGATCGGTTACTTTTCAGGTTTATCTTCTATACTTTAACTTACTCATTCTTACCTTTGATGACTCTGAGGTGCTGATGGAGAAGTGGTTATATTCTACAGGTGATATAAACAGTAACCTTATGTTACAAACTCTCACCACGACTGGCAAACTGCGAGAACTAAAGAAGGCTAAACCCAGAGGAGTGATAGGACTATATACCGGTCGCTGGAATCTGAGAAAACATCCACATGACAAGGGAGTATTTAATGTTGACGCCTTTAGTTGGTTATGCAATGAGGAGGAAGAAACAGCCACACATGTATCATCTTCGAAACTGAAGCAACCTCTCAATGGAGACATAACCTGGGAAATGAAAACCCGAAGGAAGAAATGGTAGCAACGACAGCCAATGACCTAGTACTCGTTATGAAAAGGATCGAGTCGATTGAAATGAACTAAGGAACTAGAAATGTAAGTATGTAGTATGCAATGGAGGTACATCGGACTGCCTCAAACTTCCTCCATCCTTTCACCTTCTTTGCCTGTCATCTGGGACCGCCTGCCCCACCTTTCTACCATCAGGGGATATGACGTGGAATGTATAGACTTTTGCACCTCCGCCTCGTCACTTCACCATCCCCCACCCTTCCACTTTTGCAGTACTGGGACAAAATAAAAATAAAAAAATAAAATATTGAGGGTTATTTTTATTTCTGTAGCATTATATGGGTATAAACCGAATTATTATATGAACATCAAAACATACATACTATAAGCAAATTAAACATTAAAAGCCTTAAATCCTTAAATCGAAATTATACTTTCTCATTTGTTAATCATAACGTAAATATATGTTGTTTTTTTTTCGAAACAACAAAACAAAAGCTTTAGGCCCACTAATTTTATATACTACCGGCGTCTTTCACTATATCCTTTCATAATTGTTGACATATGAATTTCCTGGTAGGCGGGGTCATCCAGTTTTTATTTATGAGATTAATTTCCACTTTTACAATGTAATGTTTCAGTTTACGTTGTCAATTTTGCTGAGGTCGTAACCCAGCCTCACGGTATGTTTGAATTTGAGAAAACACTTCAACAATCTCATCTGACATAGTTCTTTCATCTATATGAAATTTATTAAAAAAACATTTTTTTTTAAATTGATTTTCTTCATATAGGAATTTTTTAGGTGTCTTTGTTTACCTATACATGGAAATTTATTTTCCTCTTTTTCTCCTTTAGAGGTGTAGTTTAGTTTGTTTGCGCGCTTTTTTGGGTATTATTCTGTGATCGTGATTTTTTTTACCGTGTTTGTGTCGTAGCAGTTATTGTATTTAAGATTTTTAGTTTTAATTAATTTATTTTTTGTCAGTGGTTCTTTTATTAGATCGTTTTGTAGTTTAGTACTGCAATTTTGTCTCTTACTGCTCCCATTCTGTGACGGTGTGCTCGTATGATATTGTCGTTCGGTGACCTTCCTTTTGTATATACCGAATTGTTGTTTGCCCTATGTTTCAGTCTATGTTAAATCTAAGAAATTTATACTATTATTATTTTCTCATTAAGCCGTGAATTTTACCCTCTGTGTAAAAGGTTTAGGTCAGTATTGGTGACTTTTATTAGATTCAAAATTATAGGGGTATTCACGATCTTTGTGTTAACCCTGTTAATTCTGTTAAGTCGTGTTCGATCTCGAAAATGATGACGTAGATTTGTAAGAATCTGCTAGTTAATATTGCTCGATCTAACAGGCCAGGTCCAATGTTAGGTCGAAAATATAGTCACCTTGCTATCCGTTATGGTGTAGGTAACCAATATGGCAGCCATGAACTTAACAGCTGTTTTTTTTGTTTACATGAATTTTTATACTTAAATATGCATTAATTAAATCAGACCAATACATTTCTTTTGTTAATTTCTGACCTGTCATTATACTCTCATTCATAATAGATACATCACCACATATCCTAAAGATGTAGGCTGTTAGACCTTAGGATACAAGTTACGTATGTCAGCACGAATTGAAGCGTGTCATTCGTTAGAATTTTTCGGTGCATAGATAAAATTTTGAATCAAAGAGCTGATTAATTTTCCTTTTTTATTAACTTCTGGCATCTTACAATTTATCACCAAAGAAAAGCAAAACAAACAAAACAAATCTTCAAGGAGGCTATCGAAGGTTATAGCTTTGTTTTTGGTTCTACCGATCGCCACGCGCAGCATTATGGAAAAATTAACGTTTAACATGCTAAGAAAAGAAGGGGAGCATTAACGATTTTACTGGACATTTCTTTATTCGAGTTAGCATCTTATAAACATCGTGAATACCCCTTATATCTTAATTATATCTCTCTAACCTTTTTCTTCTTATTATCTATACCAATCCCTGTAAGAGGTTGAGGTATCGCTTGCTCTGCTACCGACTACTCACATGAAGCCATTGGGGCGAAGAGACTGTATAATTTTAGTCAACGATGGATGGCTGAAGCTATTCCTAGCACTCCATTTATGTTGTCTCCTTGTAACCTGTGTGTTTATTATTTAATTAACGCTATAAAAACTAACAGCGCATATCTTCCAGAGGACATTTTCGAAAAGAATAAGCTTTTGTAAATATTTCGCACCCTTTCCTAAGAAATTTCCTATTCTAAAATATAGATTGTGTCTCGTGGGTTGCATGGTTTTATGTGTAATTTTTTCGAACCCTTTCTTTTCGAATAACTTCCTTGTGTGTGTGTGTGTGTGTGTGTGTGTGTGTGTCGGCATTTCGCCCTACACTAGGTACGATGTCACAGTATTAATTAATCCGTGGAATATGGCCAGTGGGCGGCAGAGGATTGTGCCCACGCATACACCTTCAACAACCTTCTAACAAGCTGCGTTTTGTCACGCCCCACCGTCAACTGAAGTCCGTATCTTTTTTACGATTTGACGAATTAATGGCTGTACGTTGATAAACCGTGTGATGTAGGTGATTTTTCTCGAGGTTTTTTATTTTTTAAAAATATTTTACCCACTGTTGCTGGATATTCTTCAGCTTTCATGTCGTCGACTCTATGATAAGGTTTTTTAATGACAACCCATTTGTTGATGAACACAAAACAAAAGTTCATTTAATTCCATACACGTGGACCAACTTTAAAAAACAAACATTGTTTACAGTTGGTTCTTAAAATTGATCTAATTGTTTAAAACAACAGTATCTATCAACAATTGGTTGCATGTAATCGGTTACTCCGACTGTATAACGAAATACCTTCCCACGTTATTGCCAATCATCTATTTGACGTTGTGAGTGAGGAGTCCGTCAACCAACCTTTTTGAGTGATATGAACGTCATTAGTTTACGTCATACCTAGTGCTTTCGTCTAATCTTTATCTTACCCACATCGGGTATACCTAGCTGAGTCCTTCCAAGAGGGTTCCCTCCCTTTTGGATCCACATTTCCTACCAATAAGTGTCGGAGACAGAAGCGACCGTTGTCGCTTTACAACATAGCCAAATAAGGTCGTCTTCCCATAATGGTTGCCAATCAATGTCACACAATTGATGAACTAATGGTTTAACATCGGTGGATGGTTTGGCTCATATTCTTCTCCTTATTTCAAGGTTCTTATTTTTTAAAATATTTAATACTGTCATTTTTGCATTTTCAACCAAGAGGCCGATCGGCCGAAGACTATCTGCGTACCCCCGTATTAGTAATGCTGGTGTAGGATGCCCACATGTCCGATATAATGGTTGTACCTGGGTGAATACATTCTGATATTGTTTTCAGTAGTGTTTCAGATGTACGGTTTGGCACGCAATACATGAATCATTCGTAGAAATGATAAATGGTGGAGTGATTGCGGTGTCGAATCCATTTTAAAAAGATTGATCCTACTCACAGTAAGTTGATTTCTAACGATCCGGATTTCGAGCATTCAGCTCATCATCAGGTTGAAAGAGTTCTATAACCACGCCACTCGACATGAATTGCAAAATTGAACCCGCCGATACCCCCTGCCAACGCGACGTTCCAATGAGAAGTATAAGCTAATAGTTGTATAAGCCGCTCAATTTTGAACATCTTATACAACAGATAATAAGGGGGTACCTATTCCCAAAAAGACCCGTTTATTCTTTCTAAAAAAGCAATGTCCTTGAAGAAGAAACAA